CCACCATCTTCGTGTTCACACCTTCTTCCTCAACCACCATCTTCTTCGCAGCAGCAATTTTAACCACTACCTATGGTGGTAGCGTTGGTGTATAGTTGCTTATATAGTTGTGTGGAAGAGTACAGTCAAATTGTTGTGATGGAGGAGGGAAAGGAAGGAAGAAAACAATGAAAGTACAAAGTTACTCTTAAATTATTATGCGCAATGACTTATATACCCAATTATATACCAATTTATTAACTATTACTAAAACAAACGTTGCTGATGTCCATCTATAACACCCCAATATTTCTATCTTAAAAACCTGTAAATACCTTTATCAATTTGCAAGAGAATTACTGACGTGCTACCGCCACGTGTTCAAACGTTAAGGCTAGTTCAGAATTTAGCAGCAGAAAAACTAACTTAGTTATCAATAAGTTTCAAAACCAAAAATCAAAACCAAATTTAGTCTTACAAGTTGGAACCATTAAGACCCTTATTCAAAACCCAATAAAAGTAGTAAATAAATCAAACCACAGTTAAAATAAATCCAAAATTATGAAATGTAAGAAACTGTGGAAATATCCAACACTCCACTCAAAATCCCATCATCTTGATGCAAGTTCTGATTATGTATAAACCTGTGATTAATCTGCTCCCAATATTACAAGTGTAAAAATTGGATCATTACAGGGTCATTGATAGGCGAAGGCCATGACCAAGAAATAGACATACAAAAGTACGCAATCAACAATGCTGAGTACATACAAGCTATGAAATATAACAAAGAATTCCTAGTATACTACTAATAAGCTATAAACACATACAATTTATTTACTTACTCAGGCATATGTCTCAACTGTTAACATTACTAAGACTTCACTAATTAATAGTAAATAATTCATTTCATTCATTGATTGGATTAAGCAATAGATCAGGTTGTCCCCCTATGCTCCATCTCGGAACATTAATAAAAGAAAACCCTAGGCCTCCTTTCGGAAACATTATAAACATCCAATGGCAGACGGGCGCGACTCCGTGGCCATAGCTAGTATGAGATCTCATCTAACTCCTTATAATTTAAAGAAAAACATTTGTAAACAAGAGACTCGTAAATCAGACGACCTCTAGAAAGTACACGGCTAATACCCCGTGTACCCCAACCCCTGTTTGTCATTACTCTAGATGTGCACAAATCCAGAGTTTTATTGCTCATCCATCTTGCACTTTACGTGATATACCAGTTTAAACTTGGTGATGACTCAATGCAAAACAATACAACCAATCATGCATCAATCATTCAAGCAATTCAAATTTCTAATTCAATTCTTGATTTATTAGTGACAAACAATATTTAGTGTTGAATACTTTAACCACCTCGGTGTATAAACACTTTAAGTGCATAAGGCACCTCAATCCTCAACCTCATCTTATAAGACTTTAATTCTCCCTTTACTCATTCCACTTCAATAATCATGAACGAGTAATACTGTAACACCCCAATAATTCTCTCTTTAAAAACCTGAAAATAGCTTTAACAATTTGCTAGAGAATTACTGACGTGCTACCGCCACGTGTTCAAACGTTAAGGCTAGTTCAGAATTTAGTAGCGGAAAAACTAACTCAGCTATCAATAAGTTTCAAAACCAAAAATCGAAACCAAATTTAGTCTTACAAGTTGGAACCATTAAGGCCCTTATTCAAAACCCAATAAAAGTAGTAAATAAATCAAACCAAGTTTAATTAAATCCAAACTTATGAAATGTAATAAAATGTGAGATTAACCAACACTCCACTCAAAATCCCATCACTTTGATGCAAGTTCAGATTAGGTAAGACCTGTGATTAGTCTGCTCCCCAATATTACAAGTGTAAAAATTGGATCATTACAGGGTCATTGATAGGCGAAGGCCATGACCACGAAAAGACACACAAAAGCACGCAATCAGCAACGCTGAGTACATACAAGCTACGAAATATAGCAAAGAGCCCTAGCATGTTATTAAAAATCAATCTGCACACACACAATATAACCATTGACTCGAACACATGACTCAATTGTTAACATTACTAAGACTTCACTAATTAATAATAAATAATTCATTTCTTTCATTGATTGGATTAAGCAATAGACCAGGTTGTCCCCCTATGCTCCATTTCGGAACATTAATAAAAGAAAACCCTATGCCTCCTTACGGAAACATTAATATACATCCAATGGCAGACGGGCGCGACTCCGTGGCCATAGCTAGTATGAGATCTCATCTAACTCATTATAATTTTAAAAGTATTTGAAAACAAGAGACTCATAGATCAGACGGCCTTTGAAAAGTACACGGCTAATACCCCGTGAACCCCAACCCTTGTTTGTCATTACTCTAGATGTGCACAAATCCAGAGTTTTATTGCTCATCCTTCTTGCACTTCACGTGATTTACCAGTTTTAACTTGGTGATGACTCAAATGCAAAGCAACACAACCAATCATACATCAATCATTTAAACCCTCAAGTTTCCAATTCAATTCTTGATTTATTAGTGACAAACAATATTTATTATTGAATCCTTTAACTACCTCGGTGTATAAACACCTTAAGTGCATAAGGCACCTCAATCCTCAACCTCGTCTTATAAGACTATAAATCTCCCTTTACTCATTCCATTTCATTAATCATGAACGAGTATTACAATAATTCATTCCACATATTCACGTACCTTTGCCTCTAAGCTCATCTTGCATGTTAATGCATAAATAATACTTACAAGATAAATTAATACGCAATTCTCATACATGAAACAAAACCAATCACCACATTAATCACCAATCAAACTTACTACCATACAATTCCAACCAATCTACAAGTTTCCTAACATGATTCTAAGGTTTTCCAAGTCCTTAAACATGTTTCTAAAGTCAAGGTTTTCGTATCCTTGTACATACCTTGAGTACACGAGTTGGTTGGCCACTTTAGAAACTAGAAATTGCCTTCTACAAAGTCCTCTCCTAAACCAAACAATAATGGTTCAATTAATACCCAAGAAATATAATTTACAGCAATATTAACTTACTTTAAAACCCCTTTAACCATTAAAATAATGCTTTTAAATTACTCAAAATAGTCAAAGTTAATAATTCAATAGTTCAAGTATAAGTTTATATGTTAAAATCATGAAAATATAGCTTATAACATAAAATTCCAGCAACTTTAAAGTAAGGATTATAATCTGGGAATTTAGTTTAAGACTATAAAACAACCTCATAAATATCTCTACTTAAAATAATCATTATATAGTAGGTTAGTATGTTAAAAAAACCTAAAAATCCATCATAAAACCATGTTTAAAACCTTTAAAACCAAGATTAAAAATATGAAAATATAATTTAATAGTAGAATGTATGAATACAACAATCTAAACTTAAAATATATAATTAGAATTCAACTAGTACCATAAAAACTCGGTTAAACTTTCAAAATTCAATTAAACAACACTTTAAAACCTTCCTTTTTGCTAGAATTAAAAGCTTATATATTATTCTTAAAATTTCCTACATAAAAACATTAAAATACATACTTATTCATAAAATTACAGCAAGTTTAAAGCTTTATAAAAATCTGAAAATTTATTTTAAACATTAAACCTTCGTTAAAAATCAAAAACTGCCCGAAAACCATATTTAGAGACTGAATTTGGCCACGAGAGGGTGATACTCACTACCAAATGTAGTGATTTTTGATTAAAACGTCGTTTACACACAAAAAACACTATTTTTTTTTGTAAAAATCGGACGAGTTAGAATCTAAACGTGATTAAAACGTTATTAAAAAAAATTAAGAACGGAGATCAAAGTTGATTACGGAAAACTGAAAATTTGTTTTTATGCTTAATTAATCATTAGAAATTCAATAGGAACAAAAGCCCAAAATTAATTGATCATTAGAAACCTAAAATCCCAATTTAACTAAATTAAAACCCTAGGTTAAAAATTACAAAATCTGAAAATTAAAACAACAATTATAATCTGAAATTATTAGTTTAAAACATCAAAAACATGATTTTGATACTAAATAAACTAATTTCAAGAATTAAAAATCAAAACCCAAAAATCAATTGCATAAGCTTTATGAAATTAATATGAAATAAAGGAGGAAGAAAATAAGACTAACCTTTTTGTGTGGGGAAAATTTGGGGATTCATGGGGTATTTATAGGAGAGAATTGTAGGGTAGAATTAGGCCTCATGAAAATAATGGGCCAATTAAATAAACAAATGGGTTAGGCTTTGTTTTTATGATACTGGATTGTAGGATATAGGTTCATAAAATAATTTAGTCTAAAATAATTTTTGACCCAAATTAATAATTTGAAAATTAAATTCTGGAAAAATACAAATAAGTATTATAAATAAAATAAAATTTCATTTATAAAATATTTAAAAATACGGGGGATTACATCATCACTGTCCACATGTCACTCTCATAATAAAAATTTTCCCACCTAAATGCAAGGATGATGTCAGTTATTTTTTTTTTTTTTTTGGGAGCTACCATAAATTTGAATATTAGAAGCTTCTACATTACAACTACAATCTATCAAATTATCCTAAAAAATGAAATAATTGTAAATAGCACACTAATAAATGGACTTTTACATTGAAATATGTATTAGGCGACGTTGAACATGTATTATATCATTAATTTTGATGGAAATCTAAAATTTTAAAATTACAAATACATTTGTACAAGGTGAATAATTCTTATTTATATTTATCCATTTTTTTAAAAATATACAATTATAAAAATAAATTTAATATAAACCGTGCAGGTTCTAACCTAGTTTTCTAATAACAAGTATTTCCTCGTAATGAAATCAAAATATTCAAAGATTTACAAGTTACAAGTATTAATTTAATTTGTCAAATAAAGTTTAAAAAAAGATAGCCTATTTAAAAGCTCTGTGCTTTCCTTTCCATTGAGGCGATTTCTATCTTTCATTGAAGCAGCTTCTGAGGTAAGATATTGGGTTCTATTTGTAATCATCCTATATCAATCTCAAAATCTAGGGTTTATCGTTAATTTAATTCTCGGTATACTCAATTTAGGGCTCTTCTAAACTCAATTTTTGTATTATTGCTTACAATATTTACTAAACGAGAAGAAAATTATGAGCTTAATTTGATATTTGAATATAATTTGCCCCTAATGTTAAAATGTAACTATAAAATTGGACCTTTTTCTCCCTAAATTTATGAGCATTATCTGATAATTGAATTAAATTTGGTTGCTAATGTGTTGTAGAACCCATTGATGAAATTGGGACTTTTCTCTGTGGGCGCAGGGCGACTGCCACTCCTACCCTGGCTCAGGGACGGGCCTGTAATGATTATGAATAAATATGTACTCCGTATTTGGTTGGTTATAATAGTGCTACATACCTTTTTACTTTTTTTTTTTTTTTTTAAATGTGGATTTAGTAGGGAAAATTCCCCCAAGGAATTTCACTTTAGTACAAGTATATAATATAAAATATACCATTTATTATCAGAAAATTTTCAAACGAGCTTAAATGTAATGGGTACGAAGTTTTTATATGGTAGAAGCACGCATATTTCCCTCTCATTGATAACCATTCTAAATTAAAATGTTGGTGTGAAAAGTGTAACAAAATTCCCTTAACCGCTTTTTCTTACTGTCACCAGCGCACTTTTAGAACAACCACTTCGTAGTATGGACTGTGTCCATCCGTGACCATGGAATATTATAATCATCAATCGATTACAGGGAAGTTCTTTCACCTTACCACACCTCTAAGGTGTTCATTTATGCCCTTAGCCATCTCAAGCACAGTCAGCAGACTACAACCCGTAGGAGCAGTTGCTGCTGCGGTATATAAGTCCTCTGATCTGCATTCTGAACCGGATAATTATCCAAGTTCACATGGCAATGAGGTTTGGGGTGAAGTTGGAGGAATTGCTGGCCCTAATTCTGAACGCGCAGATACTTATAGCGCAGAAGCTCTCCGGAGGCAGAGAATAGGCTTAGCAAACAAAGAAAAGTTCCCTGGAACAAAGGCAGGAAGCATAGCCCTGGTAAATGTTGCATACCATCTGGAGTTGACCTCCATGACTTGTGTTCTTTGCTAATATTTGTGAAATTGGTGCAGAGACTTGTGCGCGGATTAAGGAAAGAACCCTTGAAGCCTTAAGAGACCCCAAGGTGAAGTGAAGTAAGAAACATTCAATTTCTTTTAACCACTCTGCTGTCCAATTCTATTTATGTTCTATGTGGTTTAGCTGGTTAAGGCTTGGAATATCACTATCAGACCCTGTATGTGATACTTTGCATGAAACATCACTTCAGTTCCTTAGTATTAACTTTAAAGGATATTGATTTTATTTTGCTTGCTAATCCTTAGCTCTTTGCTTCATCTTTGATATATATTGTAACTTGTGCTTTTATTTTAATTCACGCTTTCAGATAAGAAAGAAGATGTCCGAAGCTCCACGCTTGCACAGGTAGTCCTTCCTCTTCATGTCTTTAAACAATTACTTGACAAGAATGAAAGATTGTTTGGGATTTTCAAAGTCATTTCTCTATCATCATCAGATATGGTATCAAGTCAGGCTCTTATGTAATTAATGGCTGAGAAGTTTCTTTATATTGTTGTACTGAAAAGTAAATGAGTCTATAAGATTTTTTTTTTTGGTTGTCTCTTGAACTGTAAATCCTTCACCTCTGCCTTTTGAAAGTCTGCAACCACCACGATTCATTTTCGTAGCAAAGTTGCACTATATTCGCGCAAAGAATACATATATAGGCTAAGGTACTTTGTATCAGTCTACCATTAGCTTGATAGAGGGAATATTGAAGGGCAGGCAGTTTAATGTTGTGCATATATGTGTGAAAGTGATAAGGGATGATATCTAGAGAGGTGCTACACTGCTATGAGCCTATGAATGAAGTAATTGACCATTTGAAGCCCTTTCCTTTTCCTCTTATGATACAATTGTCATTGGTAAGGATTTTTTTTTTTTCATTCCTTTCCTGTGGTTTATAGAATTCACCTGTACCTGAGACGGTTAGAAGCCTGGATTTTTAAGGCTTGGAACTACTCTATGCTTTAATTCTACTTTTCTTTTTCTATTTTGTTTTATCTTTTACTACATACTGGGAAGTCTTTTTTTTTTTTTTTTTTTTTTAAAAAAAAAAAAAAAAAACGACTCTGATGCAGCTTATGTCAAAACTCATTCAAAAGTAACATTTGATGGTTTTTCTTTTCGTTATTCCTTTTTAAGAAAATGGAAATAATAGTTGTACTTTCGATTAAATGTAAATCCTCTTTTCTTGAGGGATGATGTCTATGTTACGAGTCAGCATTTTTACCAAGAATTAGAACTCAGCATCATAGCCTTCTGCATATTATTTGTACTTTTAGGCCTACAAAGCACCAGATTCCATTTTCCTAGTAAACTACAATCTTTAGCCAAATGCAAGAGAATTTCTTGGCAAAGTAAAGCTTTATTTACTTTCTGTGTTTTCTCAGTCCAAAATATTAAAGCTATTTAGTTCTTGTTTATGTAAACTCGTGCAACCAGCCAACCATTAGGATTTTTGTGTGACTATTGACTTTATCTATTTCCAGAAGCATGTATCTTTTTTAGTTCTCAACGTGTAGTTTTTGAGAGTTTGAAAAATTGCATTGTTTGATTGCATTAATTTCAAATTAGATTTGATTAGTGTTGATCAGCCTTGTTTTTCTGTGATCCTTGAATTAGTTGTCAATGATTTTTCCATTGAAGCTATGACGTGGAAGATACTCTTGTTGACTTTTGGGGAATATCAATTCATGCAGCAATAGCTTAGCCAGGGCTTTCATTAATTTTCCTTAACTAGCTGTGTAGCTTCATCATTGACTTTTTCAAGTTGATCAAGAGTCAAGCGAAATTTTGCTGCGGTGTAGGCTATCATTTACAATGAAAAGAAGGGCTTAAGGGCACTTTTAGATCTACGTCTAACTTCAAGAGACAACGTGTTTTTGAGCCTTCCAAAGAGAACTTTATGCAAGATAGGAAGATACACAAGAAGGGTCTTTTAGTTGCACATATTCCTATTATTAATCTACGTGTAGTAGTGCTGTGATGGGAAACGTATGATGACACTTTCTGAGTTTCTCTGTGTGACTATGTGTTAGAATCCGCCTCTTTCTCTATGTATCCCCCTTCCTTTTTCCTTGTATTTTCCTTATGTAGTGTTTTCTAAGTCTTTCTTTTTGCTTTCTAGGCTCTAGGGGAAATTATTGTGTTACTGTAGTTTCAGCGTTCACTAGTATTTCTCCATGTAATCAATATAAAGCTCTTTATGGGGCGAATGGTTGAATGAATAAAAGCTCCTATCCGGGTTGCCTTTGCTTTAAGACTTGTGTGTTGATTTAAGCATTTATAGATATTGTGATTGCCTTGTTTTAAAGCCTCCCCACCAAACCAAGAGAACCTCAAAAGACACCTTCCTTATCGTCGGTCCCGCTTGTGCCCGCTTCGAAATATCGGCCGTCACAAGCCCCGACTCAGCACTCGTTGTTGACGAGTGCTTCGTTGAGATACCTTTGGTCCGTGCTGCTGTGTGCCACAAACCCCCCCTTCGCTCTAGGCTTGCGTCCTTGTCGTCAATAGACAAGTGCGCGCCGCACGATCTAGTGTCAAAACTCTCGGACCGTGACAGTTGGTATCAGAGCCGGGTTGCTCGAGATATGTCGAACGAAGAGATGCCAGGATATACGTTGGAAGAAAGACTTGCTTGGCTTGAAGGCAAGTCAGAACAGTGGGCTATGCTGGAAGAAAGGATGCCCAAGCTCGAAGATATTGTAATAAAGCAAGCCGAGGAAATGGAGAGGCTCGCGTCGACGGTGGATGGGTTGACGGAGCAACTTAACTTTGTGCAAGGCTTAGCTGATGAGGCACAAGACAAATGTGCCACCTTGATGCGTGCCCAAAGAGGGCTCGGGGATAGTGGAGGTACTAAGATAAAACCTCCTAAACCTCGGACCTTTAATGGCACGAGAGACTCGAAGGAGGTTGACAACTTCATCTTCGACATGGAGCAATACTTCCGTATATGTCGGTTGGAGGATGAACTGAAGGTTGATACTGCCACGATGTACTTAGTGGACGATGCTAAGCTTTGGTGGCGCACCAAGTACGCCGATATTCAAGCTAAGAGAACATCGGTAGACACTTGGGAGGATCTAAAGAAAGAGTTGATGGCTCAATTTTACCCCGAGAATACTGAGTTTGTCGCTCGCACCAAGCTTGCAACATTGCAACATAAGACCTCTATTCGAGAGTATGTGAAGGAATATTCGGCGTGCATGTTAGAGATTCATGACATGTCAGAGAAGGATCGCATGTTCAATTTTGTGCGCGGAAATTGATACCTTATCGGGTGCTATAGCTGCAGCTGAAAGGTTGATGGATTACTCGTCAGACAAAGCACCTATCCAGAAGAGGGGAAATAGTGGGTCAACATCAAGCACCCCAAGGAGCACCAGTGGTAATTCTCAGGTTAGCTCGAACAGTGTGGGGAATAGGTTCAGGAATGGGGGAGAAGACTCGCGGAAGAATGTCTTCACCGCATCTACAAACAAAGGTGGGTCCTCGGGCTTATCATCATCATGGAACAAACCCCTCACCTGTATACTTTGTCGAGGGCCGCACAAATGGTTTGAGTGCCAGCATAAGTCAGAAATAGACAACCTCCAGAAGAAACTCTCCTCAATGTCCTCTGACCCTCATAAAGGAGATGACAAAGAGGAGGACGTGGGAAGCGAAGAAGAACCCTCTAAGTTGGGGGCAGTGTATTGCATGTACGCTATGGGAAAAGAAACGTCGGAAGATAAGGGTCGGGCTACCAGCTTGATGTACGTAGATGTCTGGATAAACGGGAAGAAGGCTCGGGCGATGGTTGATACAGGGGCCACTCATAATTTCATCACGAAGCGCGAGGCAAACAGGTTAGGGCTGAGAGCCGTGCATAGTGGTGGTCGCATGAAGGCTGTGAACTCTGAAGCACAACCGACTTGCGGCGTGGCAAAGAATGTGAGCACCAGGATTGGGGAATGGAGTGGGAGCCTGGACTTCACAGTGGCAACAATGGATGATTTTGAGCTGGTCCTTGGGATGGATTTCCTACACACCAGCAAGGCTGTCCCAATGCCCCACCTAGGGTCCTTACTTGTGACAAGCCACCAACCGTGCCTCCTACGGACACACGCCCAAGCTGAAAAGGAAAAAGAATTGAAAGGCCCCCTTCTCTCGGCGATGCAACTCAAGAAGGGGATGAGGAGGAACGAGCCCACGTTCCTCGCCACTCTCTCGATGAAGGACGAGGAGGTCGAAGGCGATATCCCAGAAGTTATAGGAGAGTTGCTCGGGGAATATGCAGACATACTTCCTAAGGAGCTCCCAAAATCTCTTCCTCCTCGAAGGGCCATAGATCACAGCATTCCGGATGGCCCCTCCGGAACTTGCAGAGTTACGTAAACAGTTGGACGGGTTGTTAGAAGCTGGGTTCATCCGACCTTCCAGAGCTCCCTATGGAGCACCGGTCCTTTTCCAGAAGAAGCAAGATGGGAGTTTGAGACTGTGTATCGACTATAGAGCCTTAAACAAGCTGACAGTGAGGAATCACTATCCGATAACGTTGGTAGCAGACTTGTTCGATCAGCTAGGAGATGTTGTGTACTTCACGAAGCTTGATCTAAGGTCCGGCTACCATCAAGTCCGAATTGCTCAGGGGGATGAACCAAAGACAACTTGCGTCACCAGATACGGCGCGTTCGAGTGGTTGGTCATGCCGTTTGGGCTAACAAATGCGCCCGCAACATTCTGTACCTTGATGAATCAAGTCTTCCACGACTACCTTGACAAGTTTGTGGTTGTTTACTTAGACGACATCGTAATCTTCAGCAACACCCTAGAAGATCACTTAGAACACCTGAGGAAGGTGTTTGAGAAGTTAAGACAACATCACCTGTTCGTGAAGCGGGAAAAATGTGCTTTTGCGAAGGAAGAAGTAAGCTTCCTTGGACATTTTGTGGGAGGAGGCCGCATAAGGATGGATCCTAAGAAAATCCAAGCTATTAGTGATTGGCAAGCTCCGAAGAACGTCTCAGAATTAAGGTCGTTTTTGGGGTTGGCTAATTACTATCGCTGCTTCATTCG